GTTGTGTGTGTTGTGTTGGTAAATGAAATCAGGTTTGAGCAAGTTTTGATAAATAAATGTATAAAAATGAAAAAAAAAAAGTCAAACTTATGGAATCAAAGAGTAGATTGGGGTTTGCCAGGGGCCAGGGATGGGGGAAATGGAGAGATGTTGGTAAAATGGTACAAACTCCCAGTTATAAAATGAATAAATTCTAGGGATCTAACAATGTGGTGACAATAGCTAACATGTACTGTATACTTAAAGTTGCTAAGAGAGTAGATCTTAAATGTCCTCACCACAAAATTTTTAAAAAGGTTAACTGTGTGAGGTGAAACATAAGGTACTGAATTTTGGCATAGCTAGAAATTTAAAAGATTATAAATTTGTATAAGTATTTTTTGAAACATTATTTCAAAGCCTGAAACCAGAATCGTTAAAATAACTGATACTTCTACCTCTTTTATAAGCAAGTTATAATTGAAGTTTCCTTATAGTTCTCTCTCTTTTTTTTAAGCTGAGCCATCCTGCCACCTGTTGGCAGCTCAGCTCCGGCTGGGAATCAAATCAGCAACCCTTCTGCTCAGAGCTCACACTTTTGAGCAAGCTCTTAACCAACTGAGCCACTCGGCTGGCCCTATAGTTCTCTTTTTTAATGTTAGTTTTAAACACTCTATAAATTACAAAAATGTTTAAAAAACCTGAAAGATTGAGTAGATATAGATTAAAAGCTGCTCATTAGGAAAGAAAAAAGATCTGGGCCTTTAGTTGATTACCCATCCTCAATTTTTAAAAACTTTTTATTATGTATATTCTCACACACACAGAAGAGAAAAAAACCCAGAGTATAATGAACTCTCGTGTATCCATCATCAGCTTTACCAATTGTCAACATTCTGCCAACCTTATTTCATCTACCTCCCCCAACATTTTTTCTGAAGTATTTTAAAAGAAATCCTAGACACTTCGTTTCACATGTAAATGTATGTAAGTTAATTTTAATCCCAAACAAGTTAATGTAATATAATATAAATAGAACTACAGTGCATAGATGGAGGAATATACCGGTTTCATTCATTCATGAAAGCCAGATAGTTAGGGACTAAAATAGGTGCTGGGGATATCAGAGAGAGAGCCACATCAGGGCAGGAGAAGACAGAAAGTTCATAAGTTATTAGGTGGAAAAACAAATACAAGAATCATTACTCCTAAGTGGTGATGATGATAATAGTTAATAATTACAGATCACTTACTGTTTTAAGCCCTTTGCAAATGTTAACTCATTTATTCTTCACAATCATCCTCCAGGGTAAACATTATTATTACAGAGAAGTGAAGTAATTTGCTGGAGAGCATTCAGATCTTAAGTGGTTGAGCTAGGATTTTGTCTAAGTGGTTTGATTTCAGAGGCTGTGCTCTAAGGGAAAAAAAGAGAGAAAACTACTTTTAGATTGTGGTACAAACAATGTTAGTTGTTCACCAAACCATTTCATTTTCTTCCTAGGCACAAAGGAAGACTGTATTTCCTGGCTCCCTAGCCTTTAAATGGGCCCTGTGACTAATCCCAGCTAATGGTATGTGGGTGGGCACAAAAAAACCCCAAAACTCTCCCTGGCTAGAGTGACAGCTTCCTGGGCTGGAAGGAGCCTGGATCTCTGGGTTACTAGTTAGAAGATAACCTCTCCATCAGGTACATCTTTACTGAACTTTGTGAGCACAAGAAATAAATTCTTACTGTGTTAAGTCACTGAGATTTTGGGGTTTGTTATGGCAGCTAGAATAAATTATACCAAGAGAAACATATTAATTTAAACTTTTAAAAATTATGAAATATTTTAAAAATATTGAAAAGTACAGAATATATTAACAATCATATCTCTATCTCTAGGTTTAACAGATGTTAATATTGTCACATTTCCTTCAGGTTTTCCTTCAAGAAACCCATTAGATACAACTCATAGCTAATAACCAATAAAGCATCACCTTATCCCTTATTCCTCCCTAGAAGTAACTACTATCCTGAAGGTCATGTCTATCATTCTCACTTACATTTTTTATTTTGACTGCCATATATTAAATCATAGAGCATTATTTTGTGTGCTTTAAAAATGGACATAAATGGTATCAAAAATTCTTTTTTCATTCAATATTGTTTTTGAGATGTACCCATGTTGGTACATGTAGGTCTACTTCATTTATTTGAAGTTACATAGAAATATAGTCATTTATCCATTCTCCTACTTACAGTTAAGATCGTTCATGTTTTTTTGCTTCCACAAACAATGCTGCAGTGAACATCCTTGTACATGCCTAATATATAGTCAAAGGTCTCTCTGAGGATTTTCCCACTTAAACTGATACTATGAAAATGAGAAGCCAGCCACGTGAAGAGCTGGGAAGCAGGTGCTTCAGGTATCCAGAGCAGTGGACAAGCCTGACACCTTAGGGAATGGTATGTTTTAGACCCAGTGAGGTTACAGTGTAGTGAGTGAGAGAAAGAGTAGCAGGAGTGGCAGGAGGAACAGGAAAGGGCCACCCTGTTAATGGCTTTAGAGGCCAGTAAGAAGTTTGGGTCTTGTTTTATATGCAAAGCCACTAAAGTGTTCTCATTTTTTTCTAGATTGGTCAGACCATACTCACAGTATTTTGAGTTCCTTCGTTCAACTTCACTATGAATGGATCATTTGTTGAATGAATGCAGTTACTGCTTTTGCTCTCCGTTTTGAAGGAATTGATTGTAATAAGAAAAAATTACTTTCCAATTCCTTTTCTGCTCTTTTGTGTCTGAGGGGCAGCTATATGTTTCAAAATAAATTATATGTATCACACTTTCATTTTTCCATCAAAAGGGCTTAAAAGGAAATTCTTTTTTTCTCCATATTTTGCAATCAATTTGTTCCTTCTATTAAAATCAGACTGACTTTGGGCCAGCCGAGTGGTTCAGCTGATTAAGAGTTCACTCAAGAGTGCGAGCTCTGGGCTGGCCGAGTGGCGCGTTGGTTAAGAGCTGGCTTGGGACGCCAGAGGGTCCCGGTTCGGATCCCACATATGAGGGCCAGTGACACTGCCCTTCACAGCTAAGATGCTGAACAACAGCTCAAC